CCAGTGACCAGTCGCTGCCTTCTGCTTTGCATTGGCATTCCAGAGACTCTGGCACCGATCCGATCCTCTGGATCGCGCTTTCTGGCATTTTTTGAGTCGGGTGTGCCAATGGGTTTCGTATCTTACTCGTATTTATTTTCTGCCATAAATGGCTTCCGGTGGAGTGTCCAGTTTTTGGCTCACGCTGAATACGCATTCACATTGGGCTCCATTTAAGGTGGTTCCGGGGGCTGGGGTCTTCCAATAAAATTATGAATAGGCCATGTGGGCAGGGGCAACTCCCCCGCCTTCGAGGCTCCAACTACTCCAATCAAATTATGAGCTATGCGTTCCAGTTTCGGCTGTGGGCTTTTCTCAGATCTCCACTCGACCTCTCTCTTGCTCTCTGATCTTACACCGCAAAAAAACATACATCAACAACTGATAATAACTCATATTTAAGAGATTATACAAACAAAACGAAAATGTTGATTATTCGACAGGAAATAACCATATTAGGGTCAATATGGTCTCGCATATATTATTAATAAAATATGATAATAATAAAATATATTTTATGACTCATATAAAAATATGTTTTCTTGAGTGCTCACTTATCGATGACAACGGAAGCGAGTTGGCGTTGCCGTCGTCATTTTGCGTTTGCCACAAATTTGTTTAGTTAAAGTATTGATAGAGAAAAGAGAAACAACAAATAAACACAGCTTTTGAATAGTTTTTCATGTGGGGGTTCCGACGGTTCCGGCGATGATATGCAAAGCTCCGACGGGAGGGAAAGCCGCGGCTTACAATTCGGCTTTGGCTTCGAGCCTACTTTGTCCATACTTGGTTAAAACTTAAATATTTATTTAATATTCTCCCCCAGAAAACATGTGTCACCCAGATTGACATTTTGCTTTGACATTTTACTGATAAAGTTCTGTCGAAATTTTTGAGAAATTTTCGGGCAGCAAAAAGTTCATTCACAATTTAAGTAATGTGAATAATTTCTAGAAATTTTTGTTTAATCTTTGGTTTTTTCCAATGATTTGCTTTCTTCTCAATGAAACCTTGCACTTTTAGTTCTATAATCAATTATTTTGAGCATGTATATTATGAAAGTTCTTGGAAACCTCTTCGAGGAAGTACATTTCCCACAATAGTAAATATTTACCTCGGCATTATCAATATTGACAAACAACAAAGACAATGCCAAAAGTGTTTGTTGTTTTGCATTTGGTCAAGTCACGAGTTAGCCCCGTGACTCAGGCGACTGATAAACCATTACTCTTATCTGTGAGATACAGATACTCGAAATGCTGTTGTTCTGGAGGAATTAGCGCAGTGCGTAGAAAGTTTCGCTTCTCCAGATCCAGATGGGTAAATTCGATTTGAATGCGGCCTGGCCCAATTCAGCGGTCCAAGTTTGGGGGACTTCTGGGGGAAAACCTGAGCAACTTGCTTTAAATGAGGCGTGTTATGTAAATGTTTCTCTTTTTCCCATCTCCACTTGATTTTTGCTTAGTTTTTGTGACTAGATCTGGCCAAATGTGGAACGCCCACATAGGAAGGCTGGAATTTAGTCAAGACTTCATTAAGCCAGCCAGTGGCGTAGACTTCTAGTCATTAGCTGGCTAGTAAAGAAATATGAGGAATGTAAAATACAATTTAAGGTGGTATAATATCTTGGGCTTGAAAAAAAAGCATCCAAAAGCTGCTAATATTAGTCCAATTTATCTCTTTTTTATAAATTGTATTTAAAAGTTTTTTGAGGCGAACTAGCCCCAAAAATTCGGCAATTCCACCTACGCCGCTGATGCCAGCCAGTCTGAAAAGTGCGGTGGAAAAAATTGCCATATTCGGTGTATTTTTTTCGTATTGTAACGCTGATTTATGGCGACGGCTCGTCTGCACTGGAGAAGTCCAGCAAATACCTGCCTTAAGCACTCTTCAATGGAGTCGAGCGAAGAAAATTGCATGCTAGCCAATATTCGATGAATATATATGTTGTACGTGTAAGCCAGAAGAAAAGATTAACAATATATTTAATTTGCAAAGCCAATTTCTGTGTTTGCGCACGAGGCCGGCAGCGCAGTCGACGTCGACAGAGCGTCGGGCAGACCTCCAATTCCATTCATTATAATCGGGGCCCGTTCATTTCATTCATAAAAAAGACGAAGCGAAACGAAACGAAGCGAAGCCGAACGCCAGGCGAATGTATCTGTGTCCGTGAGAGAGCAGTGGCGAATTCGCCGCGCGGCGAAACTGGCTCTCAGCAAAAAAAGAGTTGAGATTGAGATATTTCTGTGTGAGCGAGAAATTTGCATGGCACACGTAGCTACGTATGCTCGTATATCTGTGTATCTGTGCCTATTTGGAATATGCCACTTATTTATTTTGTATTCCGCAGATACTACGCCCCATAGTAACCGAAAAAAACATCACTTCCCCGTTCTGTTTTTTGGGCAGGCCTGGGCTAGTCTCGGAATTCCGATGGGACCCTCCACTCGAGCGTCTTTGTTTACCCCCCGATAGGCTTGGCTTATTAGACAACACCCATACCCGATTTTGGTTCATTTTTCACATTTTTCTCTCTCTGTGTTGCGACGTCGAGAAAAGTGCTACTGGTTTTGAGTTTGACTTGGAGATTTCGAGACCAGAGTTGTCGAGCTTGAAAACCGCACGCGCCGCTCAGTCGTGTATCTTTTTTATGGCTTGGCCGCGACAACTCTGCTCGAGGGCAACAACAAAAACAACTGCTGGGGGAAAACAACAGCAACAGCAACAACAACAAAAACAATGACAACCAGTCGCGTTGTTGTGTTTGCTTTTTCAACATCATTTACACTCGAGAGCTACGAGCTGTTAAAACCGTGGGTTCCTCTTAGAGATATATAAAGAATCAAATATAAAATTTTTCAAAATGTGTAGCCAAATTTTAGAAATTTTCTGTTTCAACCTTTCGATTTATAAGGTAATTTTTTTACTGAATGAAGTCATTGAAGAGATGTGACCTTTAGGTGTGAATGATTTTGCACCTTTGTCTCACCTGCGCTCAGCATTTCCACACACACACATGGACACACGTGGGCACAACATCTTATGCTTACCTTACCTCATGCAACGAACCCATGCACACACACACCAACCCAGTGGCTGGAAATCCAAGCACACACACGGGGAAACATCTTGAGTTGTCCACGCATAGATACAACCCCCGCCCTCCAGTAGCCCACCCCGCCCCCAACTTTCTCCCAGTGTGTGCGTAATTTTCATTCATATTAAGCCAACGCGACGCAGTCGGCAGCGCAGTCAGCGTTTCTAATTTTCTATAGACTAGCTTTAAAAAAATCCTTATTTGAAAAAAACTGCGGTTGAATGTTTTAATTCATCAGTTTAGCATCCCTATTTACGAGATTCAAGGTGTGTAATTGTTGTTATTCTGGTTGCTACCGACTTGGCGAAAACACGCAAGAGGAAAATTTCATTGAGGGAAAAACGTAGATAATATGGAAAATGAGTCGGGCCGAGTCGAGCCGAGAGGTGATTGGCAAATTGGCGACGGGGAAAATTACCAAGTTTATGCACGCAACGGCCGGAAAAGCGACGACGACAGCACACCCATTCGTGGAAAACTTGTTCGGATCGGGATTCGCCGCGTAGGCAATCCAGCTGCTTAACCCATTGAGCACTCAACTTTTTGTTGGCCAAGATCGTTTAGTTTAAAGTTTGTAGCTCGATTTTAAAGTTGTTTTTATGGTCATTTTCTGATATTTACTTTACCCCCAAATTGTGTCTTTTACTATATGGCTTATAAAAAATTAAATAATTTTCAAACAACTATGACCTTTAATGCTAAAAATTTTCTTTTTGGTTTCCATTTTGTATGCAAGCAAAAGGAACTCGAAAATAAACCTTAAAATATTTTTGTTGAGCCCAGAAGGGTTAATGGTGGGTAGAAGGCAGAGGCTGTGGAAGGGGGGGGTCGCAGCGGGGGCCCAGCTGTCGCTTGGCTTCGCTGTATTTGCTGTATTTTTTGTATTTGCCGTATTTCGCTGTTGTTGCCTTTTGCCTTTGCTCTGTTATTTGTTTGCGCTGCGAGCCGTTCGCTGTTTGCATTTAAATTTAAATGAATGAAAAAGAAACTGGCTGAATTCGCCTCGACCCCGCCACTCCCCCGCTCCGAAAGACCCCCTCCGAAAACGAACGAGCGCGCCTACAAGTTGGCATATTTTCAATTTCCGTTTTTTACACAAACACACGCAGGCACACAGATACAAGTGCGTGGTGGAGGGGGGCGAGGCGGGAGGCGGGTTTCGGTCGAGGGGGGCTTGGGGAGCGAGGGGCGGCAACGTCCGGTTGGTTTTTAGTCGCCGCTGTTGCGCTCGCTCTCCGGTTCTCGGCTTCTCGCTCTCTCGATTTTTCTCTCTCGCAATGGGTTGGTGGTTAAAAAGTTTGAGGGGGACTGGGGGGCTTGGGGGCCCTCTAACTAAGGCCGTTCATCGCCTGCCATGTGCCTTTGGCTTTACAACAAGAAAAAACGCTGTAACACAGACGAATTCGCCTCGCGAGAGACCGATGTGCCCGCTCTCACAGATACATTCGCCCGAGGTTTGTTCGTATGAGTGAGTTTAATTCGCCGCCAGCATTTCCTGTGCTTGTTTTTTAGCCTTTTCAAAGGGTTTCCTCAACACCTTTTTTCGATGCGATAATTTTAAATGATTCTACAGGGTTTTTCAATAAAATTGTGTAGATTAGCCCCACAATAAACCGTTAAAATCCGCCGTAAAACGCCCATTCAGCACTGGCTCTCTCACACACACACTGACTTTTTGAGAATGAAAAATTTCGTTCAATTAAAAGGCAAAAAGAAAAAACAGGGGAGTGATCGCCGGTCGCCACTCCGAATTCGCCGGCTCTCCATGAGCTGGCCGCTCTCGCCGTGAGCTAACATCTGGCTCGTTCTGAGTCAACAGGGCGCTAACAGCGGCATAACAGAGGGAACGGCCAAGCAAAACGACTGCGGCTCATTTCGCTTCAAAACCTCGTGACGAGCGGTTGCCGCGATTGCCGCGTTCGCTGTCTTTCCGATTTCCTCAAAACCAAGCCACTTCTCATCAAACTGCAACATTTTTTTTCGAAGCAACCCGACAAGCAACAATAGCCTGCTAAACGCAACAAAACAATTCACTAACAAGCCGCGCTAAACAACAACGGTTCATTGAAACGACCAACAACCAATCACTTGAGAAAATATTGTGTGTGGTGAAAAGTGAGTGTTTATTTTTGGGAAATAGAAATAGAAATAGTTTACCAAGCCAAACCAAACCAATCGCTTCCAATGGAAATCATGTGCCTACAAATGCAAATTGCTCGAAGAAAATCAACAACGCCTGTTTAAAAAAGAAAAAAGTCCAACTCAAGCCAATCAAATACAAAACGTGTTGGTTAAAAGTCAAATAAAAAATACAAAATCAAACAACAACAGTCTCTCGCGCACACAAATATTTTTATATATATATGTACATATATAAAATTGCATAAAAATATTTTTTACTCAAGACGAGACACAGATACATTCGCCGCTCACACACGCGCACACATAGGCGACGACGTGGCCCCGCTTTCAGTGTGTTGGAGTATCTGTGTGTGATTGTGCGACGCCAGCAGCGCCGCCAGCGTCGCTGCTCCAACAACAAAAACAAAAACAACAACACCGCCGGTCGCCAAAGTTGATTATTATTATTTTTTTGGCACGCCAAAAACCGAGCGAATACAAAATAATACGAGGTTGGCAAAAATAATAACAAAATCAAACACCGTCGCCGGCGTCGTTTTTGTGTTAATTAAATTTACTTTTGTGAATGAAATGCGAAAGAAAGCAAAGCGAAAAATCATCTTTAATAAATGCTAAATAAAACCAGCAGTCGCGATCGCGAGTAAGAATCATAAGAACCCCCGCTCCAAATCGCCATTGGATTATTCCCAACACAAAAAAAAAAAAAAAAACAAAACGAAAAACGTCGAAATCATCGCCGCATTTTGGATACACCTCGAAAAAGGATTACACAACATACAGCACACATCTACGGTGATTAATTACGGAATTTGTACCACGGATTGCTTTTGAAAATCAATGTAAGTTCGCCCCCACAGCTGCCAAGATATCTGGGCGGGTATATGGGTATATATCTCTCGGATCCGTAGATACTCGCACACAGTCGCACAGCAAACGCTGCAATTTCAGTTAATCACGTTTTGGCGTCCAACCTTCGGCCAGATGGATTGCCAGGAAATGCACAATTCTTGATAGAAATAATTGGTGTATATGTTTATTCCATGCGAATATCTGATTAATTTACGACTGCGTCGTGACATGTTTTTCGCTCGAAAATAAACATAAGTGGAGATCAGCGATCGGGAAGAGATACTCGGTGTGGTGGGGCCATTCGTGTTTTTCCGAAATAAAACATCACAGGAAGCTAAACATTAGCAGCTAGCGCTGATCAGGAAGTGTTTTAGGTGTTTGTGGGTTATTAATTAGTACTTATGGATGAGCAAAAAATGATTCCTCCTTTTGTCAATACTCTCCCCGCCATAATTCATCCTGGCTTTGCCCTCTAGATTTTCATTGAAGAAAACAAAACGTTCTATAGTTAGAATCGCTTTGATCTCGTCTGAGAGTGCTATAAATAAATATATATGGATGCATTAACTGTCAAAGTAGAATCAAATAAATTTCCCTGCTTTTTATTTGATACGCAGACTGTTGCCGTATTTTTGCGGCTGCCCAACAAATGTTTAACTGACATTTCGAGTTGTTTGTTCGTCTGGCCTCGTCTCGCATCGGTATTTACTGATCGGACCGGACAGATAATCCCCACACACACACACTCACACATAGAGGGGAGTATCGCTTTTTATTGAAAATAAATTGCTCTCCGATTCGGGCTGCATCTGCGGAGAAATTCTAGAATGTGGACTTATAAAGTTGTTTCATTGTTGCCCAGAGATCAGCGACTGATAACTGATAATGTCTATCCGGCGATCGATCGGTCGATCGATCACAGAACCCCGTTCCACAGAGAATTCCATTCACAAATCACAAATCAGTCGACTGACGACTGACGACTGACTTTAGCTAAACCCTCTAATCAGTTGCCCACTTTTCTTTGTACACTTTTTGTTTTGATGGGATGGATGTGTGGCAAACCTTTGGACACTCGATCGTGTTTTTCTACTCTATTTTTAAACACTTTTCGTGGGTTTAATCTAGAAAAGAGCCATTTCGTGGGGCCAGGCATTTCGTCATCGATACTTTTTCCCTTTTCGGTGGCTCGATAAGAGCCGCAGGTATTAGGCCCGTTTTTTGAGGCTTTGCCTCTGCTTTTGCTTTCTTTTTCACGCTGACACACGCTTAAAAAATCACAAGAAGAAGAAGCAGAAGCAGCAGCTGAAGAAGAAGAAAAAGCAGAGGGGACTGATAAACCAACGAAAATATTTAAGTTTATTTACTTTTTGCTGGCTGTTAATTTTTGGGGCTAACGGAAACGAGAGGCAAAATAAATAAGGGAGGCGTAAAAACTCTTCAAGCGATAAGTTAACATTTTTTGATCGATGGATGGTGGTCTCTCGCCTTTTTCGTTCGGCAGAGGTTTTACCAATTTTCAATTGAATTAAGTGGCCTTCCCTGGGCTCTGAGTTCTGTTTTTGCTGTTTTTGATTGTGCTTCGGCTTTCTGCTCAGCGCTCTGTTCAGCGTTCTGAATTTATGTCATAGCCAAAAATACACAAATACAAATTTCATTCATAATGGAAGGAAATTCTCGCGCTCGCCTCGCCTCTGCCAAAAAAACATGTGCACACAAACATATCTGAATAAATAAATTAAATGCTTAATTTTTATTAGCTAAATAAACAGCTAGACACACGGCGAAGCACCAGATCCACAATGACGTTGATGACGCAGACGGCGGATAGACAGACAGCCAGATAGATGGGGAAGTCGTGAAGGTTCCTATACCACATATACATACTATATATACGGCTTACATACCTATATAGCACCTATTTCTGCGGTCGAGCAGAGGGACTTTGTAGATCACCTGTAACTTTGTATGGGGGACTCGCCTTTAATCAAACCCCGCGCACCTGATTTATAGCCGTCCGGCTATATATACCGGCCATCCCGTGCATATATCTTCCTCCGTCTTATTTGGGATATCGAGAATAGCCAGCAGAAATAAAATTACACGAACAACGGGCGAGAGGCCGAAATGACAGCAAATTAATTGCATTCGCAACACTAAAAATAGACAATCGCGAATCCGTTACCAAAATGTAAGGCAGGCCAGATCTGCATGGGCATATAGCATATAGCATATAGTATGGTGTACTATATAGTATGCTGACGACAACAACCGACGACATAATCGAAGCAACGGCTCTGCCCGTAATAATCTCTGCGGACTGCCGAAAAGATATATCAGGGCGATCGGATCAGGTGGAATGCGGGGTTATTCTCACCCATGTGACATTTACTGAACTCGAAACTAAATGAAAGGTGAAGGGGTTGGATGGGTTGGATGGTCGGATGGGAATGGCGATGGGCAGCGCACGCTTCAATGGGCTGGGATTTCAGATATGCCATATAGATAGGCAGGGCACCTACATACAACGAGTACGAGTATAGGAAAGTATCTATAAGATATGTGTTTGTGCTGCCAGCAAAGCAAAAGCAAAACGCCAAATGACAGCCCAACAAGAACAAGAACAAAACCGAAACCCAACTGAACTGAACTGAACTGAGCCACAACAACACACCACAACTACAACAACAACAACAAAAACAACCAACCAACCAACAACAACAAGAACAACCATTTTTATGCCGCAAGCAAACATGTGATTTTCATTATTTTTGTCGTCGCACCGACGCTGAAAAAAAGCCAGCGAAAAATGGCCTTTTTATTTTTGAAAATTATAATTTTTAAAAATAAATCGGGCAACAACAACAACAACGAGAACAACAACGAGGCGAGGCGAGTGTTTGCTTTTGGGGGCCAAGACAACAACTGCAATTGAAAGAGCTGACGACTGGGGGATTTATGAAGACTGCGAAGTAAATTCAAGGGGTTTTGGGCAAACAAGCAATCGTTTTTGGGTTAATCATTAATTAATGGGTCTGGGGAGTAATTATAGAAAGACTAGACGAATAAAGAAGCTATTTTGGGGTTACCCTTTCAAAATCGTATTTGCGGTGCAAAGGCTGGCGAGTAAATCCTTTTGCTTAATAGATTTGTAATTAGTTTCGTCTATTTTTAACCTTTCAACACCATTGTGAATCATAATCGACTCGATTGCTATAAATACCCCCCTCAATACATGCCTAAGCCCCATTCCATGGCTCTAGCTGCGTTTTGGGGCTTTGCTGGCAAATCTTGTCCATTAGCGAACTAAGACAATAACTGCACCCCCTTCGTTTGAGGGGGCTTCCCTCAGATGAGCCCACGCATAGAACTCGCTTCCGATTGTCCAGTTTGGGGGCTCAGTTCAAGGGGAGTGGGAACTGGGAGGTGGGTTGACCACCCAAGAGGCGAGTCGGTGGTCGAGCAACGCATACAAAACGCTCATTAATCGAGCGTCTTTAGAAACGGCCTAAACACACAGGCACAGCTCTATGAACACATATATATCCATCCATCCATATATAGTATATCCGACTATATGTGCGCAGCTAGCAAAAACAAATCGCTGGCCCATAGAATTGTCGTCAATGAATGGCTGACGACGACGACAACCTCTGATAAAGCCAAAGATGTTGATGATGAAAACGAGAATCATGATGGCGATGCAGTCAGCAGGGATAAAGTGATCAAAGGACCACATTCTTGGCAGGATTGAGGGGTGGAGGGGTGGAAGAGTGGAGGAATGGCTTACTGCTTATGACAGCCCTTTGAATTGGACCCGTAATGCAATTGCCTGGGCGTGACCTTTGCCACCAGCAGGTGACAACTTGGACACGTCCAAACAAATGCGAATGCTGGCAGTTCGCTCGCCACTTATCCTCGCTTCATATGCAAAGTCTGCACAAGTGCACAGAGAGAAATAAAGTTGAAGACTAAAGGAATTGGAAAGTTACTTATTTAGGGAGGGGTGCAGCCTCTTCTTTGAGAAAACCTTCATTAAAACACTCTTATCTTGCTGAAAACTATTTCGAATAGGTTACCCTTATCAGTAGAATCTTTCAGTATTCAGGAACATCCACATTGGTTTTCCACTCTTCCCAATCTGATTCCATTTTCCTCCGTGTGAGGTCAAAAATAACTAAGCGAGCGTGGGCCAGGACCCTCCGTGTATCTATTATATCTGCGAGCGAGCGTAGGTGACCTCAAGACGGGCCCACGCAGCCCCCTTGGAAGCGCCTCCAGTGGGCGTGTTCGTCCACCCAAAGCCCCAGCATTCCTTCCATCCGCTTCCCCTTCCCCTCCCCCGGAAAACACTTTAAGCGTCGGCTTTCCCCGCCAGTCTTTCCTGCGCCTTACAGGTGGGGCAGTGGAGCCATGGGGACGTGGGATCGGGGATCGGGGTGCGGGGACTGGGATGTGCACTATAAGACTGCGGCTTTCCGCCTCCTTTTCCCTTTTTTCGTTCGTCGGAAAAGCGTCGAGCTAAAAATAGATTTCGGTTGCCACGCTTCGGGGAAAATGAGGAAAATTAGGAGCGAGGCAGACGAGTCAAGTGCGTGTATCTGTGCGGCTTTTGTGGGCGGTTGGGTTGGGTTGTCTTTTTGCTGCTGTGTCTTGTGTGTCTGCCGTTTTGGGGGTGTGTTCGTGACACGAAAAGTTTGAGATACTCGAGTATGCTCCCCGCTTTTAATTGGGTGAGGAAAACTGTGCGTTTTAATAGCCACCTTTTGATGTTTGTAACCTGTCGTTGGGCATAAATCTCTTTAAAACAGATGTTTTTTATATAAATCTTGGGAAGATATAGGAAGTGTTTTAAGATAGGTCTACTCCTTCAAATAAATTCTTACAAATATATATAAATTACAATTTATATCTTGCCAAAAATGTGTTTGCTTCACATCTCCAGCCATTCAGAAAAGTTTCCAGCCAAAGTCACGCACTTTTGGCCCTC